CGGACATCACCGGCGGAATTTACTCGTAATTGCGTATTCCGCGCGGGTAATCGACCGTTTCCATTTTCTTTCCAATACAAACGAGGAATCGTGGCTGATACTTACAACACGATGCGAATACGTATTAATCCAACTCTCGAGATCCCCTCGAAAATAATCTCGACCGAATTCTCGAGATTTTAACTATTAATTTTGTTTTAATCCACGGACAAAAGGATCCGATTTTTCGGCCAGATATCGCCAGAGAGACCTCGACGTTTAATTAAACGTCCAGGATGTTGTCGAAGCCGTTGGAAGAGTAATGGTGAATTTCGAATTTGCGCGGAAGATGAGCGAACCGTGATATTTGATAGTTAAAAAAATTTTTGAAAAGTTGTCGCACCATGACAAAGAAAACTTGTGGCTTGATTAAAGAGTGGGGCCGATTCTGTTTTCCACCGATTGAAAAAGAGAAGTTTAAAAACGAGAAAAATCTTATCTACCTGATCCCGGTTATTTATCTTACAGGATCCATCAAACTCCAACGTAAATAAGATACGAAGCGAAATCGAAGCGAAAAATCTTTCTTTTATAAGAAGAATAATAATATATAAATATACATTCGAAATAAAAACTTGAACTTCGTAAAATGCTTATCTACCTCAATAGATAAGCCTCGACTCGACACTCTCGCACTGTTGTCGGAATCATGTGTACGATAAATAACAGAAAAAAATGTTCCACTACTACGCATCATACTCGTTAGACGAGATTCAGCGATCCGATTGAATTTTGCCTAATGCAAACTCTTCCCAGCTGTGCACTTAATATTTATTTCGAAACGGTATCAAAGATGAAACGATGGTTGTACGGATAAAGGGCTCTCGCCAATTTATGCACGCGTTTTAATAATAATCTCGTTCGTTTGCATTCTCGATTTATCTATTCGCGACAAAATGATAATAATTTATGATAACGCGAGTGCGCACGTTCGTTCTGTGCATCGAGCGGGACGCGGCCAGAATGGGAAATTTAGCGTGTATGCACTGTCAGTACGGATGATGCACAAGTTGTTAACACTAATACGTACGTCCGCCAGGAAAGGAGCCATTTTAAACAACACGCGCTACACTTTCCGCGTTCTCTATACCGCCCTCCCCGCGTGTACCACGTACGTACGCGTCAGACAAGATTACCGCGAATGGTAACGCGTTCAACTAGCAACTCCGATACGTTTAACCGGGACGATGATGTAAGAGCGCACCTCTTAAACTGACGCTTGCTCGAAACACGGTGCGTAATGGGCCGAGGCGTCGAGCTCAATAATTTGACGCGTCTAAACGCGAGGAACGAACGAACGTGACTCATTCGACTACGACGAACGTTACGCCTCGACTTGTTATGATTCGATTCGTTGTTATTATTTTGGATTAGTAATATCGACGAGGAAAGTTATATACGTTCGTTCGCTGCGCGAGAACATAAATATTGACAATTTTACGTGGAATATAATTGCGTAGAATTACGTGAAACGTATAAACTCGTTGGATGATTCAAATATAATTTTAATTAGAAAACTTTTTTTTAAATTCCGTGATTTATTTCTCCGTGGTTCTTTTCTTGAATGGATTTGATTTTTTTTTTATTCCATTTGAAAAAATTTTGTTGAATAATTAAATACCAGATGGGGCAAATTTTTATAATTTATAAATATTTCTGGCACAATAATAATTTTTATAATAATTTTTATCTTTAAAGATACGCGTTTCGTTGTTTGGGAAATAATCTCTTTTTTAAACAGCATACGAACGATGCTTTTAATCGAATATTTTTATAAATTCATAATAAAATTTGTAATTCTACCAAATAATTTTACGAACGAATTTATTCTATATCTTAATGTGGAAGAAAAAATTCGTATCGTAAAATATATAAAAAGATTCAAACTCTCGATGGAGATACAGTTTAAACCGAGATGAACGACGAAACGAGAGAGAAAAATCTTTGTAAAAATTTCTACAAAGGATTTTATTATTATTATCGGTGTCCAATTAATTTCAAAATTCTCAAAAGTCTGCTTGGTCAACCAAGCAGAGGCGCATCTTTTAACGCAAGGCCGGAAATGGATGCGTTTCCGCGCGAAATCCACCGCGTTCGTAATCCATTCGGATTAAATTCTACGCATAAAAACGCGAAACCATAGGAACGTGACCTGCATTCTTCATGGTTTAATTACATTTTTGCTCTGCCGCAAACTTTATCTCCATACCACATTCTTACCGTGTAGTTCGAGGATAGTATTTAAAAAACTTAATATCGGTATTGGCCAAGTGAGAATTGTTTCTTGGTCAGGTCCCATTCAAATAATGGCAATAATTTTGGACGGAAAAATCTAAAGATTAAATGAAATTTATCCTCTTCACAGATGCAAGATGTAAAATTCCTTTTTTTTTTTTATTGAATTTATAATCACACAAAATTTTACCACTTTCTTTTTGCATAATTTTCACAATTATTATTGCAAAAATATGCAGAAAGTCTCGTCTTTCTACAAAATTAAAATATTACTTTTTTTCCACCTTTTCTTTAATCATCCTTGGAACAACAGAAAAAAAAAATTTTTTTCATCGAATCTCAATTCTATGGATTAAATCCAAATCCGATTGTTCGAATCGAAACAAAATTTTCCCACTTTTCTCCCTTTCGATTATATTAATCGCAGATGAATTTCGTCAAATGAAAAAACAAAAAAAAAAAAAAACAATGGCGAACGACAAACAATCGCGGCAAATTGGTGTAAAATCTAATCGATAGAGGATAGTTGCCACGTTGACAATAACAGAAGGGGGGGGGGGACAAATGAACTTTTCCAATCATAATTTACACGGTGTTGAACGGGGGCTCGATTAATGCCCTGCATTAAATCAATTGCGCTAATGCGGCTCGCTGCATAAATACGTAAAGCTCGTTAAAAACAAAAATTAATGCCCTCCGGTAGTCTAGCACGGTGCACTGCGAAATTTCAACGTTTCACGGGCCCGCGATCGTTAAGTACAACCAGCTAACGAAATTATCGCCGTTACCCCTCCCTCCCTCCCTCGAAATCGAAATTAACATCAAAGAGAGGATGCACGAGCCGTCGACCTTTGCGTGTATATACGTATATATATATCGATTGGACGGCCTTGTTTTTTGACCGTCTCGTCCAGGCAAAAATCGACGATCGGTGTTAGTTTTTGATGTTGAGCGAGCGCGACGCGAGTTCGATCGCCGTGAAAATTAGAAACTGGATTCATTCATCGTCACTGGTGTCGCGTCTAATCGCGACCTCGAAGCGGTGGGTATCCAAAAAGTGTTCACGAATCGTTTTGAATTCGCGAGACAGTTTCGATTCGACGTTAAATCGACGTGAAACTTGGAAGACGAAGCGAAAAAGCGTACCCTTAATGTTTCGAATAATGTCGTTCGAGATTAAAATTCTTTCCCAGAGTTGTTAATTTATTCTTCATCGGAGGATAACGAAGAGTATTATTATCCAATAATCATAATTTTCGCTCTCGATACGATGTTATATCCATTAACGAAAAATTACTCTCGACGATAATTTCGTAGAATTTTACTCTGAAACGTGTTCGCGATCCTCGATTTCGTTAAATAATAATCAACGCGAAATCTTAAAATGTATCGTTAGAATTTTAATTATCTTCGAAGATTTCTCGATTTAAAGGTTCCGTTGGAGAGAAGAAAAAGCTCGGTTCGAGGAGGTCGAGGCGAACGTGTATAAATCCAAGCGAATCAGGTTTTTACGTCGGCGAGAGGGCGTAAATTTTTTGGAAAGAGGTATCCAATTACCAGAACGACGCGTTTCATTGCGCGAAAAAACCGCTACAACAAAATAACCGTCGGTGAAAGTAACGAGAAACGTCGATTTAAATGGTCCCCCCCCGATCGGTCAATTGAACAGCTCCTATTTTCGATGCATGGCACAACTTCAAACGAGCCGTACCCGGCTCCCCTCTCTCCTCCTCCCCCACCGTAAATTGTCATCCGCGATTGTTCGTTCCTTCTACGTAAATCTATTACGTAGGGAACGCGAACCCTTCGCGCCGGCCAGGTGCATCGCGATGCCTATCCCATAAAGTCCCATAAACTGGAACCCGCGTTCGATCAACGTTATGGGACGCGATTTATCCTCCAGATACTTATTTTCTCCTCTCTCCTGATTCCCCTATTCTCTCACGGGGCAACTAACTTTTATTCTTTTATCCTTTGATTACCAATTGATAATATAAAGGATATTTATAAAGTGCAGAGAGAAAAATAATATCGATTTTTATGCTCGTTTGCAGATATCTAGAATCTAGATTTCTGCAAAACAAACGTCAACGTTGTATTGGATGAGATTTATCCTCCGGATATTTATTTTCCTCTTTCACGATAAAAAAACGAACTATTCTTTTATTCTTAAATTAGAAATTGATAATATATAGGATATTTATAAAGTGCAGATATCGAAACAGACATAAAAAGAATATCAATTTTTACGTTCGTTTCGATATCTGGAATCTAGATTTCTGCAAAACAACGTCAACGTTATGGGACGAGATTTATTGTCCTCCAGATACTTATTTTTTCTTCTCTCCTGATTCTCTCACGAGAGAACTATTCTTTTATTCTTAATTACAAACTGATAACAAAAATGAATATCAATTTTTATGTTCGTTTGCAGATATCTAGAATCTAGATTTCTGCAAAACAAACGTCAACGTTTATGGGATACTTATTTTTCTCTCTCACGACAAAACTAACTATTCTTTTATTCCCAATTACAAACTGATAATACACAGGACATTTATAAAGATATACAGAAATAAATAATTCTCTATGTTCGTTTCTATAAATCTAAATTCTGCAAAACAACTATAAACTATAAAAGCTTCGTTTACCGAAAGGAATTACATCATTTTATAATATAAATTTTCGAAATTCTCGTTGGAGAAAACAAAAGAAAAGACACTCACCGGAAGAGAGCTTGGACCTCTGCAACAGCCAAGTCTGGAGCGCCAAACGTTCCCTGTGCCTGCAGAAGAACTCGGGCCTGATCCCGTGCCTCTTGAGGAACTCGTCGCACTTTCTGAACGCGGCCAAAGCCTTGGCCGCCTCGACCTCGTCGATATCCGCGAGAACGTTCGGGCACGAGCTACGTCTCGAGGACGAGGAACGTTCCTCGTAAGTCTCGTCGGGCAACAGCATCCCCATCCCCGCGGAGCAGGACCACCAACACAGCTCGACGATCCCCCCGTCTTCCTTTCGACAGCTGTCGTCGGTGTTCACGCCGGTCTGGCAACTTTCAGCTCGCGGCACTCGTCCAAAGCACATATTAATCCCGGCCCTTTGCCTCAGAAAACCGTTTCTAATCGGCCAGGAAACGTGTCTCGACCTGTGTTTCGCCCAAAACGGTCCTCTCCCCCTCTCACTCTCTCTCTCTCTCTCTCGTTCACTCCTCGTCGCTTTCCCTCTCGTATTCACGGGTCAACGGTTGATTTTCCGCGGCGCGAGTGACGGCCCGCTCCCTCGATCTCTCACCCTCGAAAGAGGCGAGGCACGCCCTTAATGAGATCTCATCTCGATCAATAGGATTTTGTCGGGAAGCAGGCCAGTCAGCTTCAACCTCTTTCACGCGTATCACCTCGTGACTCGTGAGCCATCTCGCTCCTCCCTTTTTTTTCTTCTTCTTTTTTTTGCCCCCTCCCCCAACGAGGGCGAACGAAGAGGAAAGCCTCTTCGTTCTCGATTCCTTCCCCGACCGCTAATTGAATCGAGCCCAGGCGGATCGGTTTATTGGTTACGAAAGCATCCACACCGCCCACCCACTCGGATGATAGTCCAAAGCCTCAAAGATTTCCTCGAGGAGCAGCCCGATTGGCGGCTGCTACGTGGCTCGAATTCGAACGCATCCGATGTATCTCTTCGTGAAATCGATCGTCGCTTCTCCCTCTTCCCCACCCCCCTCTCCCAAGAGGGGTGGATCTCGGTATCGATCTCGATCGCGTCGAAACGCTGCCGACTTTCACCCGATTCGAGGTCTCGCTCCACCCTTTTGCCCGTGATTCGATGATTTCCCCGTTGATCGCGTCAAGAAGATACTTTTCGAAGGTGGTTCCGAGGTAGCCGGATATCGCTTACGTTTCACGCATTTCCGCGCCATCGTTCTTCCAGTCGAGACGACAGCTATGCGCTCCGGATGTCCCTGGAAAATAGAGAATGTTACGCGTAAGCGGGAGAGAATTATCGTGGAATTCGTTTGTGTTTTCGCTCGATTTTATTTTATTTATTCTTTCTTCTTTTTCTTTTTCTTTTATATTCGCAAAAGTCAAAAAACGAGAGCACTTTTTTTCGTACGAATGATGCTTTAAATTTTTTTTTTGATTTTTTTTTGATCGAGGTTGAGTGGCAATCGTTGCAAAACAAAATCTTTTTTTTTTTTTTTGTTTNCAACGAAATAAAAATACAACGATTTCGATTAATAACGAAATACTTTTGAATCCTCTCCTCCTCCCCCTCCCTCAGCGTGGAAATTGATACATTTCCTCGTTTATGAGACACGAATAAAACAACGTGCGCGCCAAGAGTTATAGCTGATATTCATGGGATTATGGGAGACAACGGTACGATTTAATAGGACGGCCATTTCCATTTTAGAGGAGTTGGCCAACAATAAACATATTAACGATCCCGTTACCACCATCGTTACAACGATCGATACGATATTTCCATTCAATCCGTGTTTCCGCGGAATTTTGCTTATTTTTTTTTTTTTTCCTCGACAATGTTTCCACACGAATCTCGTGGCGATATAAATAATTCTTTCGTCGATTCGAAAATACATCTGTATCGATAATTTTCCTTTTCTTCCTGTATAATCCTATATATATATTTTTTTCGAAAAAGTTTGGCCAATAATCGACGAGGTTGCGTGAAAAACAAGTTTGCCAAACTCGTTCCGGGGTTTCGAAGAAAGATTAGCCTTTGCTTTGCGATATTGCCGGGTGAATATAAAATTAAGTTAGGCTATTAATTAACAAACAACACGCGGTCGAGTTCGACTGGAAGAGTAATCCGACAAGGCGACTGGTAGCATTGACGATCCCACGACACGCGAGCGTGCCGTCACCTTGTTTTAATCCTTGCCTCATCGTCGATAAACATTATTGTCGTTCACGGAATCTTCCTCGATATCTTAAGAATCGTGCACAACGTACGAAAGGATATCGATAATTCGAATCATTCTCGCAAAATTTTTTCTACTCCAAGTTTAAAAATTTTAAACAACAATTGAAAATTCTCGTTCATTAATTATCTCCGCGTTAATAAAAAATGTTAAAGATGTATACGATGTAATTAATTGATAAAAATTATTCGTTTAACATCAAAGGTTGAAATTCCGTTATTAATCATTTCCACGTTGGAAAGGAAAAGAAAAGATAATATAAATTTTGGAACAATCTATAATCGAATATCTCTATCTATATAATAATTTTTACTCGATAATAATTTACATCGAAGTTCCTTGAACATCCATCATTGATCTCTACATGATCTTTTTTTGAAATATTTTTCGATATTTCCTTTTCCTTTCTTTTTTTCTTTTCTTTTTTTTCCGAGGACCATCGAATTAAACGTTTTAAACGTCAGCTCCTCTCGATCTCGGCTCTTCCCACGAATACCGTTAATCCAGGCTGCTTCGTTATCGCGAGGAAACATTAATCAGAAAGTCCCATAGGAGTCGTGACACGTTCGATCGTCGTGTGGACGTCGCTTTAAACCGCGATGCATAAACATCGCGATGAAGAAGAGGGAACTCGACGGTGACTCGACACGTGCCACCCACGGTGAATTACAGTATTGGTGGATCCGTTCGCGGATCGAGGGACCCACCGGTAGTTCGATACACGAATAAAGATCGAGATCGGAATCTCCGACACCAGGAAACCGTTCGTTCCATTCGAATCGATGCCTTCCTTTGCCTATCTCCCACGAAATCTAACCGGCCAATCAACCCGAATCCTCGTAAATCGCCGAGGGACGCCTTCCATGGACGCACGAAATTGCGTTATTTTCGTTTTATAAATTGCTTAACCGCCCGTCAACCGGCCGCATAATACGTCGTAAAACCGTCGACGAGTCGTCGCATGGGATCCTCTTGGAAAAGTGAAATTTCGTGAAAATGATTTAATAATGCAACAACCAAGATCCTCTTATATATCTTCCTTTTATAAAATGTGAAAATATAAAGTGTAAGATGAAAAATCGGACAGCAGACGGAATATTCGTGGATTATTCGTGACGATCTTTTTCATCTCAATGTTCTTGAAAACAATGCTCGTTCGACGTTAATTGCGCGATTGAGTTAATTTGAGTTCGAGGATTACAAAAAAAAAAAAAATTTAAAATACACTTGATCGTTGATGATGAAGCACACGAGTTAATATACTACCTGCTTATGCTTCTCGCAGGCTCTGACCTCGCCTCTCCTTCGCAACGTCGAAAAGCGGAGCCTGCGGCGACAGCGCGGGAACCTCACGACCGTCTGATAAATTTACGTCCAATGAGTTTAAAGCGCATTAGCGCGCGATAAATTTCGTCCTTTGCCTTTGCAAGTCCCGCGGGCGATGAGCGGCAAGATCGTCTATCCAGCTATGCTCCATATTTTCCCCTGCCTCCCGATTATTCCGAGACGAAACCCTTCTTTCCTCTTCCATCGAGCAATACGCTTAATTTTCTACGTGCCGTTCTAATTTTCTAATCTTTCCCCTATTCTTTTCAAGAATATCGGAAGAAGAAAAAAATGAAGAATTATCGATATTTTCAAAGATAAGAGGGAGATTGAAATTTTCTCAGATATACAGATACAGTATAGAATTTTGTTTAGGCGAACTCATCGAGTAGTTTAATCGCTTATAATTAAGATCTTAAAAATAACAAAACAATAGTGTAATCTCTTTATCAATATTCTTCTATTATCTCTATATTATCTGTCTTTCTCTTACATAATTTTCCATAATTTTTACGTATTATTCTCCTTATCGTCCAGATGGAGCAAGACAATAAACAATAAATAACCTAAATATAATTTTGAAGAATAAAAGTCGAATAAATAAAAAAAAAAAAATAAAAAATGAAGAATTTTCATTTTCTCTGTCTCTGTCCGCCCTATGTGATATCATAAAGTCATTTTATATATATATATAGTATGCGATACGTGTCCTGACAAAAAGAAGAGGAAATAAAGAAGAAGAAGGATCGTAAAAAATGGGAGGGAAAACGAGAAATAAAAAAATAAAAGAACCAAGTGAATTTCTTTCCTCACCCATTATATAATCGAATCGAATTTTCGATTCGAAAATATTCGAATCGAATATATATTCGTCTCCAATTTCGAATAATAATCCAAGGTTAAGGCGAGGTTTCTCGATTCTCGTAAATCGATACTCGGCTCGGCAGTAAAGAGAGGACGAAAGCGCTGGCCACGCGAAAGTTAGTTCAACCGCTGCTCGTCCTCCCCTCCCCCCCTTCCGAGAAGATTTACCTTAGAACGTAAAGCGCTCGCGATAATTTTATTTCGCCGAGCGTGTAAACCCGTTCCCCGTGTCCCGCCCGTGTGCGTGTAAATCGCGCGTGTATCGCTCCGTGGCGGGCATATAATATGCAACGCGGACACGTGCATCCTGCTCCGCGCCCTCGTGGGAGATAGTATAAAAGGAGGGGGGGAAGGAGGAATAAGAAGAAGAAAGTGTGAAGGAAACCGAGAAAATGAGCGTGTACGACAACCTATAAAATGCACGAAACCTCGAAACCTTCTCCACGGAAATTAAGGAAAGGGAAAATAAAAATACCGAGTCTCTTTAAGAATAGGAGTCTCTTTAAGAAGAGAATTTTGACTTTCTCGTCTCTGTTCGCTCTATGTGATATCATAAAACCATTATATATATATAGTACGCGACACGTGTCCTGGCAAAAGAAAGAAGAAGAGGAAATAAAGAAGAAGAAAGAGGACGATCGTGGAAAATGGGAGGGAAAACGAGCGATACCGTGAATAATACTAGCGGCGAGGAAAACAGCGCGAAAAAACGAAGGAAAGGATTGGGTTGGGATTAAGATAGGGGAACAAAGGGGAAACGAGAGAGAGAGAGAGAGAGAGAAAAAATTCTTTGGTAAAGAAAAAAAAGGAACGGGTGGGAAACGAAGAAGGGAGGGTAGTACACACGAAAGGGTTGAGAATCGATGGAGAGGGGGATAGAGTTAACAGCGTGCATTTAACAACGTTCGCAACGTTTGCAACACTGGGTTTTTTAGCCGGAGGAAGGAAGGAAGAGAGGGAGGGGGAGATGAGAGAGGAAGAACGAGAGAGGACATTCGCCCTTCGCGAATGTTTAAGAAATACGCGTTGTGCGTACGAGCGAGGGCGTACGAGGCTGTGATTAGGGCCCGAGTTGGGCCCCTCGGGGCCTTACAAACCGCCCACTACACACCGTGGCCAGACGAGAAAAGAAGAGTGGAGAGGCGAACGGAACGGGTTGCCTGAAACATCTTTGCGGGACCGCGTGGGAACGTATCGGCTCGTCTATCATCTTAAACCTCCCTCGCGTTTCTCTCCCTTCAGGCCTAACCTGGGATAACCAACCAACCCTCTCCAACCGCGTATAACACACAGGGTGATTATAAAGTGCTTAACGCGCCTCCGGATCGTGTTACCGTCGATGCTCCATCCGGATTTGCCCTATTGCGTTTCGCGCCCGTCTCCTCGATCCCTTATCACCCAGGATCGAATGGAATTATAATTTTAACCCGTCGCCATTGCATTTTTCCCAATCCTCGATGTATATACTCGAAATCTCGAATACGCGCGCGGTGACGAGCAATCACGTACTTCCGGATTACGTATTATCGAAAGACGTATGAATTACCCTGTCTCTTGTAGTCGTCGGGTTTTCGATCGTTAGAGTAGATAACGTGGACGCTATTCAATCTTTTTCTCGTTATCGTTCACATATATTTGATATGTTTTGATATTTTTCTTATTTTTTTTTAATAAGAAGAGAAAAAAAAGAGAAAATATTATACGAAGGAATGGTCGATGCGATTCTTCAATCGATTAACATCAATTTCCCTTTTAAACAGATCCTATTTTCCACCACGTCACGCGTTAAAAACTTTCAGTTGGTTAAAAACTCGTTGCTCGAGCATGAG